CTCTGAGTCCCAAGATCCTTAGGTCTCTTAAGAGTCACTGATGCTAGACCCCTAAGAGATGGCCAACTCCTAGTTTCCTTTCCAATACCCTTCAGTAGACTTGTTGTTCTGATGCATAATGACCCTATATAGGGTTTCCAAGGAATGACTAATGAGCTTGAACCACCAACCTTGCAGTTCAAGCCTACTTCTTTCCAGCACATTAACCCGCAGCACCACACCAGGACTCCTTCAGTAGACTGGGTAAGACAATTTATAGCATGCCTCACCTCCCTAGTATCTCATCTGAACCAAAAGAAAAATGGCTGTCTGGGAGCTTTGCCCTCTATTGGTGAAGGAAACACACAATAATACCAGTGTAGTTTGGCTGAGCCATTCATAACAGATGGCCCAGAGAAATGAATGTAGGTTTGTGTTCCTCATTGTGTTTTTAGGGATGGGTATCTCTGGTAGCGTAGTGGTTATGAATCGGGCTGTGAACCTTAAGGTAGCAGTTCGAAACTACCAGCTGTTCCCCGGGAGAAAGAGGAGGCGTTCTTCTCCCGGCACATAACAACAACAACATATATGCATGTACACGTGTGTGTGCACACACATGTACACAACTCCATGCATTCCTATTTGAGGAAAGGTTTAATAAATCAGAGCCACTCCATTTTGTAGTAATCTGAATAATAAATATCTGAACTAAATATTTTAGTGGTTCTTTTTACCTTTTCTGTGGATTATATTATATAATCACATGTCAGCTCAGGGATGAACTTTTTGTTGAGTATGTGCCATTTTATTCATTGGTACCCATTATTAGTAATTAGATCATGATTCAGCTAGGTAATCATGGGGCCAGGATGATCACCAATACACACTTAGAGATGACTCTGAGTGCTTCACAGGGAGAGTATGTGGGCTGTGTAGTTATTAGAAAAAATATTCTCTGCCTAACTCCTTCCAGCTTGATCTTACTGATGACTGGCAGTATCTGGCTAGGTAATGGAGGAGTGGAAATCCCAGGTTCTTACTGATGCCAGAATCTTGACTTTAAACATTTCAGACATAAGCAGAAACTCTCTGGTTTATGTACAAATCTCCAGGATTAATAATTTATTCTCTAAAAGTCATTGTTTCAAGCTGCCTAATAGCAGCTGTATTCATTCATTTGGAACCTGGAAACCAAGAGACTAGAGAGAGTCTCTAGAGCCCTCTCATTGCTATGATTCTGTGTACAGAGCCTTGGTTACCTTCAACAAATGGTGGCAGTAATTCTTCCTGCACCTGCTTTTACCATCCATCTCTTGTCCCTATTGACTTCTTCCTCTTTTTTCACATTTCGTAGCTACCAATTTGGATAGGAGGAAGGAGAAAAGGACTGTATTACATTTGCTGCCAAAGAGAAACCAGATGAGGTCACAGTATATGAAAGAGTAGTAGAAACAGCTTTTCCATGGTCTGAATTTTGGGGCTTTGATACCCTTCAATTATTCTTTAGATCTGAAGGCTATTATAATTGTGTTCTCAGTAACCATGATGGAAAGACTAGTTTGGTTGATTCATTTTAGTTCTGTGGCAGCTGATTCTTAAGACATGAGACCATCTATATAACTTCCATTGCTGATACTTATTCTAAAATAGCCCTCTACTCAAAATACTAGCCATTCAAGAATTGTTAGTGAGCACTGGTTATAGTTTAGGCCCTATGCCCCAGGTCCTGGATATGCAAGAGGCAGTAGGTAGGACAGAGTCAGTCTCATGGAGTCTGTAGTGTTAAAAGTGTCCTGTCGTGCACCTCCCTATGGTAGTGCTTGAGAGCTTGTGTCCTCCCATCCGCCTTTTCATTCTGAATGACTTAGAACTCGGTTGTGAGCCTGCCTTCATTCATATTCCAACTCTCCCATCCCCTAAAGACAGCTGATACAGTGGAAATGAAGCCAAACAGACTCTAGTTCAAATCCTGGCTCTGTCATTTTCTACCTGAATGACTTTGAAGAAAGTCACTTAAATTCTGAGTCACTTAAATTTCTTTTGTTGGAAGAAGTAGGAATAAACAAGATTGACACTAGTTTCAAGTCAAAATATCTTTGCTAGTTGCCATCTTAATTGAGAGCAGTGGGAGGGATGGATAAGGATAAGAGTTGTTAAGTGCCATTGAGTCCAATTGGTTCTAACTTATAGTGACCTCATATAGGGTTTCCAAGGCTGTAAATCTTATCTTTCTCATGCAGAGCAGCTGGTGGGTCTGAACTGCTGACCTTGCAGTTTGAAGTCCAGTGCTTATCCTACAGCTCCATGCACTCCCACGATAAGAATAGAATGTTTTCAGTTTTAAATTTTTACTTAGATCCCTTTTCCTTAATTTCTTCAAGTTTATTTTTGTTTTGACTAATCCTTGGGACCAGTCTCTGGAGAAGGATATCATGTTTGGTAAGCTGGAGGGTCAGAGAAAAAGCAAGACCCCCAGCAAGATGCATTGGTAAAGTGGCAGCATCAATGGACTCAAGTGTTGCAACAATTGTGAGGTTGGCCCAGGACCGGGCAGTGTTTTGTTCTATTGTGTGTAGGGTCGCTATGAGTTGGTACCAACTTGATGGACCTAACAACAACAGCAATCCTTGGTCACCTCTCCTTTCTTCCTCACCACCCAGTATATGTAACCTGCCCAAGGACTCTGATTGACTGGGCAGCCTGCCTCAGTGTTTAACCTTTCCTGTCCTTTTTCTTCATAAAAATGCACTGTTCCTTTGTGCTAGTCACTCTATTCCTTCTTGTTTTATTAGAAAACTTGATAGTTTGGGGCTGAGATGAACAGCTTTAATCTATTATTGAACCTGGATAATCCAAATAGTAATAATGTCAACTATGGGGAAGTGTTAGGCAAAGGACACTTTTCTCACTCACCAAGTAGAGCAAGCTACAATCGGGGCAGATCAATTCTGTCTGAAATCTCCTTCTGTTATTTAAAAAGGCACATATGTGACAATAAAGAGGCGAAAGCCTCCAAGAGGCAAAAGAGTTGTGCCAGAAGGTCAAAAGCAGAAGACATCTCCTCCAGAGCTGGCAGACAGTAAGTAGGGGAAGACCTGTGCCTGACAACACCTGTGTCCTTGGTAAGAGGAACTAAGAAGATATTCATTGATCAAATTCAGTGTACAGATCCACTGAGGACTGCTCAGGTTGACCTTGTTTTACATAGTTCTGAACTGGAGTGTGGGGTACATGTGCTCTATGAAAGTATGATATCCTGACCAGTCAACTTGAACCTTTGAGATTGTCCCATGTTCCAGCTACCACTGACTGCCAACCACTCTGAATAGAATCACCATAGGAAGTCCTGAATAGAGTGGGAGAGAAATGTGGAATCAAACTCAAAATCTTAAACAAGACCAAGCTTACCCTTTGGTTGGTTGATGATGAATAGAGGGCTTTGTAACCATGGCAGTGAAACGATATATGATAGGATGAATGTAAAGCTAATGTTCTCCCATGTAAACTATCACATAATTCACAATAAAATATTAAAAAAAACAAACAAACAAACAAGACCAAGCTTATTTTTCTGGTATAGACTACTGGAATCCCAAAGACTACGGCCCTTGTTGTTGTTAAGTGCCGTCAAGTCGATTCCGACCCATAGTGACCCTGTATAGGATTTCCAAGGAGCCAGCTGTTGAACTTGAACCACAGATCTTGCAGTTCAAACAACTTTGCGGTCTGATGCATTAGCCCATGGCACCACACCAGGACTCGGCTCTTAGTCACCCTTTAAACCAGACCCATGGTTCAACTTTCAGCCAACAAAGACCTATAAGGTGAGCAATAATACCAGGGAGGTAAGCACTCCCTAGATCAATCAATTGTATGGGATCAAAGGGCAGCATTTTCCCAGGGATAAAGCTCAGAAGGCAGAATGAGGCAGGAGAGAAGGATGAATGGAAATATAGAGAAGGAGGAAGAGTGATGTTATACTGTGAGGATTGCAGTCAGTGTCATGAATCAAAATGTATATGAAGTTTAAGTTTAAAAAAGATTATCCTAAGTTCATAAATGATGACATCTTCAAATCCTGAATACCCTACTTATTATGATGGAGTCCTGGTGTAGCACTGCAGCATAATGCACTGTACTGCAAGGTCGTTTGAATCTCAAGGTTGACAGTTCAAACCCACCAGCCAGTCCTTGGAAACACTATGCAAAGTCACTATGAGCCAGAACTGACTCGATGGCACTTAACAACAACAACTTATTGTTGAAGTCACCCAAATCTCGTTTTCTTCATCCTGCTATCAGGAATGGGATGGGGGGATGCATTCTCTCCATTATTTATTCCATTATTTTTTCCCAATGGTTTTTGTTGGTTGGTTGGTTGGTTGGCTATCCTTGCCATAGAAATTGAGGGCAGATGCATTGGAGATTCTTTCTTTGCATTTAAGTAATTATGTGTTTCTGGATCTCTACATGCCCCTAGCTCTCAGCTGCCTAACTATTCCCAGGTTGTTCCATCTCATTTTGCTCTTGACTAGCCTTTTCTAAGGTAACAGTTGGTTTTGGTCTTGGGCATTGAAAACTTGAGAAATGTTTTAAATGGCTTTGGCTTCATTGTCAATGAAATTGCAGTGGGCATGGGCAATGTTTAAAGGCTAAATAAAGACTCTTGATAAGAGCATGTATGCTGAGACAGGTTACATCTTCACTCTTTCCCTAGCAACTTTATCTGTAAGATTAAACATTCTGCTGGTAGTATTTTGGTTGGTTGGTTATGTGCCGTGGAATCGGTTCCGACTCATAGCAACCCTGTACAGGGTTTCCAAGGCTGTAAATCTTTATGGGAGCAGGAAGCCTCATCTTTCTTCCACGGAACAGCTGGTAGTTTTGAACTGCTGACCTAGTGGTTCGCAGCCTGATTCGTAACCCTCAGCTTCCATTCCAAGCTGTTTATCTGCCATTACCGGAAGCTATTTACGTTTATCCATTTTACTAATTGGCTTTTGTTTCCATTTTCTTTCCAGGTGGCATTGGTAGAGTGGTCAACGGAGCCTTCATGGTGCTGAAAGGGCATCGATCTATTGTTAACCAGGTCCGCTTTAATCCCCACACCTACATGATCTGCTCCTCTGGTGTCGAAAAGATTATCAAGGTGAGGCACCTTTCTCTTCTGTCTTTTTATAGAAATTATTATCATTCATATTTGAATTTCTTTAGAGCAATTTATGCAAGACCCCATACCTAGACATACTAAAATGGTCTATCAATTTTTTTTTATGATTTTGACATATTACAAAGTTTAAGAAAATTGATACTATAAAAAATGGGCTACAACACTCCTTTAACAAGGATAGTGACTGAACTTTGAAACAGAAAGTATCTTCTAGACACCACCTTTATGTCACTACATTTCTGATGGACTTTGCTTTCCAAACTTCATGTGGAGGCTAGGGGAGCACTCTCCTGTTAGTGTTTCAGTGTGCACTTTGCATTCATTGCTATCCTAGTATGGCACAGATGTCACTGAGAACCAGAATCAGAGTTAGAGTGTCTCATAAAAACCACTACCTGTAGTTGAGTATGAATCCTAAACACATGCATCAGTAGTACATCATCTAAATGAACTCTCCCCTCCAAGGAGTAGTTTTATAGTCTGCAACTGCAGGCCCCAGCCTGGCCTGTAACTGTGTAAGGATGGCCTACTGCCCATCACTTTCATTACAATTGCTAGTAACCATTCCATCTTTTTTCACACCTGAATAAAGAAATGAGGGTTTGGGCAAATGATGAATTCTAGAGGACTTGACTTTTAAATAAGAACAGGTAAGATCACCCCAAAAGTTAAAACACCTTGATTTTTTTTTTTTTTTCCTGAAGTAGCATTGAAAACCTCAGAGGTGTCAGGAAACCAAAAGGTAGAAATTGGTTTGTTAATGATTTGATAGTTTTCATTTTCTTTTGCTATTTTTGTCTGTTTATTCATTTATAACTATCCAGAATCAAGCCAAGTTGTATTTAATGTCAGGGACAGCAATCAGAGCTGTGGGTCAATATTTTATTTACCTATTGTTCAACTTTATTTAGGCTTTGTTGCCTGTGGCTTAGAGCTGATTTCTGTGGCTGCACACATTTCCTCATAGGGCTAAAGTGGGACTTCTAGGTCATTAATACTGACTTTCTCTTAACCATCCAGAGTCACACAGCTCATTCATGATAAAGCCAGCTAGAAACTTGCCTTTGTTCTTCCTAGTATACCGCCACATTCACCATGCAGTGGGAAGGCAGTGAATGGATCATCTGATGCCTCCTGATGCTGGATTTTTTTCGTCTCAGTCATTCTTTGCATGAGCAGTCATTGAAAGTGCCCTGTCCCTTGCATTGCTTCCCTACCTACCCCTTGACCTGTGACCAATGGACCAACGCGCTATTACTGAGTTGTGTCCTCTCTAAGACTACTGACATCATTCTTTTCCTCAGAGCTCTCGACTTGGTCATCTCCTTTAACAGAAAGATTCCTGTTTGGCTGTACACTCTGGGATGCCTCTGTGCTAAGTTTCCCCAATTACTATTTAGTCAACCGAAGTCCTTACACTTAAGGTCATAGATTGGCAACTAGCCAAGTTCTCAGAGGAGAGTGAGAAGAAAATGTTTTCTCTGTGAGGTTATCCAGACTGAACTAGGTAGCTCACTGTGCTCAGATTCCCATGGAACTGAACCCTGCCAGTCCCATGGAGACAGGATTAGCTGTGTGAACCCTGAAGACATCAATATAACCATAGTGAAAGGGAAAGCAAAAAGCTCTGAAGTTCTCAGCTTTGCTGTCTCAGGTACCATCTGCTTGGGAGTGGCATACATTTAAGCATTGTGAGAAGGCCAAATGAAATGCTGGCATTGTCTGTCTGTTAGATTTACTGTCTTTGTACTCACATCATCCAGAACGTTCACTGAGTCTCAGCAGCATTCTGGGTTGCCCTCAGGAGACAGCCCAGAGGAGCTTGGAAGACAGGTAGAGGATGTGAAGAGCTTCTGAGAAGCAATTTAGGACCTAACTGTAATTTTTCAGACACATTTTTAAGTTCAGTGTAGTAGCACAAGGAGAGAGGAAAAAGCATATGATGGTCACTCATATAGATCAAAATCTTGTTGCAATTATGTAACATTTTAATGATGTCTGAATAAGAATTTAACTGTATTCTTTCCCTCAGAAGCTTCTAAGCAACTAACCAATCACTGCCATCAAATAGATTCCGATTCCTAGCAACGTTATAAAACAGACTAGGACTGTTCCAGGGTATCCAAGGCTATAAATCTTTATGTAAGCAGACTGCCATTCCTTTCTCCCAGATTGGCTGGCAGATTTGAGCCACCACAGCAGCTGAGTGCTTTAGCCATCATGCCACCAGGGCTCCTCAGCAGCCTCTAGAATTAGAATGACTAACTCTAATTATTCCCTGGATTTGGAGAAAGAGCTGCTAATCTCACCTCATGAACTATATCCCAGCAGGAGATATATCTAGCCACATTTAAGATGTAGCAGAATTGTTTTTCCATTCTTTCATTTCTGAATTGTTGACTTTCAGTGTAGGGAAATCACAATGTTACAACTGTTTGAAATTGATATTTTAAGGATGAAGGCCATCATAATGGGGAAAGTTCATGCTTCTGAGATTCAAAAGTCTCTCTGACTGGTCTAAAACTTGCTGGAGGTAGTACTCAGCTGCTAAATGAAAGAGGAAGGGTGCTTTGGTATAGATTATGTCATTTAATCATTCTCATCACTACAGAAGAGAAATAGAGGCCTAAAGGTGAGGCCACTTGCCTACGGCCATGAGACAAGGTAGAGCTGGCATTCCTACTTGCTGCACCTAGTACCACAATTTAGAACTACAAGGTCCTTGAGGATTGAAGACTGAGTGTCTAGGATGGAGGTTTTGTTTTGCTCTCAACTTTAGGATTGGATGAGACCATGTAATTCACTTTTGAGATGAGGGAGCTGGGTTTCACTCAGGTTACCAGCTAGCTAGGAGCTGAGTGGGAACTTACAGTCATCTCCTACTCCCTGGTCTAGCATTTTATTCCATTACTTCATGCTTACGGAATGAACAGTCGATCTTAGCCTGATACATTCCAGAGTCCAAGTAAAAGCTGACATTCAGTGTTAGGATTTTTATTTCTGAAGTGAAAACTTAGGTGGCTGGGTATTAGAATCTCAACTGGCTTACTAAATAATTGGGTCAGCATCTAACCATTAATATTTTGTATTTCTGTTAACAAATTCTGAGTTTCTATGAAGTACAAATAGATTTATCTTCATATTAGAAAATATGATTAGTAACATTTTGCCATTTTTAAAATGGGAAGGTGAGAGAATTGGTCCAGAAAGCATTCTATGAGCTTTGCCCTTTTGGACTCCTTGGCTTCATTTCTAAGCCACCGAATTCTTTTTATTTCCTCAGACATCTGTTTGCAGAGATAGTTATTTGGAGCTTGAGCCTAGTGCTAAAAGCCATGTTTTTTAGGTTTTGGGTGAAGAAAGTCCTCTCACCTTGGTGTCTACCTTCTTATTACAAGGACTAAATATTTCCAAAACATTGAATCTCACAAAGAATTTGAGAATTTCTTCAGACAAATCCTTCATTTATTTTATGCTACCTATATCCTGAAGAGGAGTCCTGGTGTGGCACTCTAGGATAAGCACTGGACCACAAGGTTGGTTTTTTTTAACTGCAGAGTTAGCGGTTCAAACTCACCAGCTGCTCTTCAGAAAACTTATGCAGAATCACTATGAGGTGGAACTGACTCAACAGTTCTTCCCTACAATATCCAGAAGAAACCCTGATGGGGCAGTGGTTAAGCACTGGACTGCTGATTGGAAGGTCTTAAACGCATTAGCTACTCCTAGACTTAGTTAGTATTCAGTTCCCATAAATATTGCAGTTTAGGAAACCCTATAGAAAAGTTCTTCTCTGATCTACAGAGTTACTATGAATCAGAATTGATGGTGGTAATGGGTTTTTATATCCCAGTGCTTCCTCTACAGTACTTGTTAAAAATACAAGATCCTGGTACCTCCCCATGATTTAGTAAATCAGAATATCTCAGAATAGGGCTCCGAAGTCACTGCTGTAATTCAGGGGATTCTTAGCACTCTCAAGTTTGAAAGCCACTGTCTTAAACACCCCTAGGTGAGATTCTGAAGCTAGAGGGTGAACACCTGCGGAGGGATGGGCAGTGGGAGGAGGAATGGATTTGAGTATTGAATCAGTGAGTAAAAGTTAATCTACAAAATTGCTTCAGCCCCTCTCTTGAACTGAGTTTCCTGGAAAGAGACACTACCTGCCAGGTAAAGCACAACTGGAACTGAGGAGCTAGAAGAGGTCTCATAAAGTTCTCACAAGCAGGGGAATTTGCCCTGGGAAAGCTTTGGGGAAACAAAGCCATTGTCTTGATGAAGAATTGAGGGTTCACTATTTCCTAAGTTGGATACTATCTAAAGATAGACACCAGCCTGTCATGCAAAAAAGTTGCCTGGATTTTCATCTGAGTTTCCATGGCTACTGGCTGATGTAACTGAGCTTTTCTATTTTGCTGTGTGGACCAGTCTGGCAGTCAGGTGGAGCTAATCATTCTCATTTGCAGTAACAGCATAATTACTTTGCACTTGATTTTTGCATAACTTATTCAACTTGTATTTTCTGGTGCCCCATCCGCCTAATACAGTCACCCAGCTTGGAAAAAGCTGCCATAGAGGGAAGTTTACTGTGTTAAGCAGTTATAACTATCATTTTAGAAGTGATGTTTGGCCTAGGTGAATGGAATTTGAAAGACCTCAATCTAGCTCAGATATTACCTACCCTGAGGTTACTCCAGAAAGAAAATATGAAGAGAAAACCTTTGTTCTGTAGTGTAGTGTAGTTGGTGAGGAGCTGGGCCTTTATGTTCTGACAGACCCGAGTTTGAATCCTAATTTTGCCACATGACCTATAAACTCATGTTCTTGACCAAGGAATGGAGGAGTGATAAGAGACAGGGATACAGTCACTTCTTCTGGAGTGAAGATGCCCATCCTGGGTATTCAGCTGAAGCTAGCAGAAGAGTTGGGGAGCAAGCCAGCTGCTCTCTACTTCACAGAAACCAGTTTCCTGGGTAACTGATTCCTGCATATCCAAAAGGGAGCAGCAGTGTAGGCAGTTGGCTATTCTTATCAAACTCTAGTAAGCAATCCCATTAGTTAAAAATAGAAATGTTGCAGTTGGGGAGAAGTGGAGATTTATAAGCTGAAATATTAACTGTCGCAGAGGACTGACTGCTGGGTCTGTGTTACTTTGGAACACATTGACCAATCTTCAAGTCATCCTAAATCCTTTGAGATTATGTTCCAAGATACAAATAAAGGAAATTGAAGGAGAGGGATATGGTGCAACTTATTCTGGGCCTAGAGACATGACTTAGATCCCCTAATACTTGACTAAACCCTTGACCATGAATTTTCCCACATCTTACTCTAGAACTGTCAGTTTTCATATGCATCCAACCCATGTAATCCAGACTGTGAAGGATATACTTTTAAAGGGCTTCAAATTGGTTCTTCCTGGTTCAGTCTTGGCCAACAAAGCAAAACCAGAACAGGCCCAAATTTGGAAAATGTGAATATACCAGAATAATAACCAGAATGGAGAAAATTATGGTCAACACCCTGCTAGAAAGTTAACCTCCCTCTTAGAAACAAGGGCAGCGTTGCATGTTACAACCAAATCTCTTCATCGGGAGAGTCAGAAACATTGGTGTCTGTCCCACTTAGAGACGGTGGCTGACCACATTGTTTTGAATGTATGTCACTTTCCACAGTCCTAGCAATAACCCCCTGCATCAGGTTCACTCTGCCTCTTTGAAGTCTCCCATTCCAGGACTTGGTCCTATTCTGGTTATAATTCCACTTCATCCAAATTTTACACATTTGGACTTGTTCCAGTTTCTCTGCACTACTTTGAACTGAACTGGTTCAAAACCCTGTTTTAAAGTTGCCTAGCAGATCCTGGCCAAATGGTAGGGAGGAGGGTCTGGGGAAGCTCTGCCTTGGTGTTATTACCACCAAATCTCTGAGACATTCCAGTTCGTTTTTGGTGGTTTTTGTTTTTTCTTCTGTGTAGATCTGGAGCCCATATAAGCAGCCAGGGTGTACTGGAGATCTCGATGGTCGGATTGAGGATGACTCTCGCTGCCTCTATACCCATGAGGAGTACATCAGCCTGGTGCTGAACAGCGGGAGCGGCCTGTCGCATGACTATGCCAACCAGTCGGTCCAGGAGGACCCCCGGATGATGGCCTTCTTTGACTCCCTAGTGCGTCGAGAAATTGAGGGCTGGAGCTCTGACTCAGACAGTGACCTCAGTGAGAGTACTATCCTCCAGCTTCATGCTGGGGTCAGCGAGCGCTCAGGCTACACAGACTCAGACTCTTCCGCATCACTGCCCCGCTCCCCACCCCCGACAGTGGACGAGTCTGCCGACAACGCCTTCCACCTGGGGCCTCTGCGGGTCACCACCACAAATACGGTGGCATCAACTCCACCACCACCTACGTGTGAGGATGCTGCTTCTCGCCAACAGCGCTTGTCTGCTCTGAGGCGTTACCAAGACAAGCGCCTCCTGGCCCTTTCCAACGAGTCTGATTCTGAAGAGAACGCCTGTGAAGTTGAACTGGACACAGATCTATTCCCTCGGCCACGGTCACCCAGCCCTGAGGACGAGTCCAGTAGTTCCAGCAGCTCCAGCAGTTCAGAGGATGAAGAGGAACTGAATGAACGCCGAGCCTCCACCCGACAGCGAAATGCTATGCGTCGCCGGCAGAAGACACCCCGAGAAGAAAAGCCTAGTGCCCCAGCCAAGCCCACCAACACATACATTGGAGAAGACAACTATGATTATCCCCAAATCAAAGTGGATGACCTCTCCTCCTCCCCTGCCTCCTCCCCTGAGCGGAGCACTTCCACTTTGGAGATTCAGCCAAGCCGGTCTTCACCAACCTCTGACATAGAGTCAGTTGAGCGAAAAATTTATAAAGCTTACAAGTGGCTCCGCTACTCCTATATCTCTTACTCAAACAACAAAGATGGTGAGAGCTCCCAGGTAACTGGGGAGGCAGATGATGGGAGAGCAGGAACCAGTCGCAAGGATAACCCAACCCCTTCTTCCAGTAAGGAAGTCTGTGTAAACACAGCCATGGTCCAGAGAAACCAGGACCTGCGTCCTGAAGGCCACAGCAAGGATGCTTTTAAAGAAGGGACTTCTAGAAACCCCAGCAATGGCCCAGGCCATGAGCATAGCAGCCATGCTTGGGCAGAGGTACCAGAGGGCACCTCTCAAGACACTAACAATAATGGCTCTGTAGAACACTCTTTTGAAACCAAGAAGCTCAATGGAAAAGCCTTAAACAAGGCCATGAGCAGCCGGGCTGAGGAGTCAACCTCTCCTCCTGGCCCCAAGGCATCTGACTCTATTTCCAACAGTGGATCTGGCAACTGTCCCAGGACCCAGTCCGATGACAGTGAGGAGAGGAGCCTCGAAACCATCTGTGCCAACCACAACAATGGACGCTTACACCCCCGCCCTCCTCACCCCCACAACAATGGGCAGAACTTTGGGGAACTGGAGACCATGGCTTATTCTTCTCCAGGACATTTGGACACTGACCATGATAACTTGTCCCTGTCAGAGACACTCCTACACAGAGATTGTTTTGGGTCTGAAATGACCTGTGAGACCCCCAGTACTGGAATGAGAGAGGACCCGACTGACCCCCCAGCTACAGACAGCAGCAGCAGGGCTGTGCATGGCCATAGCAGCTTCAAAAGACACCGAGTAGAATTGGAAGATGGAGATCCAGAGAATTCTTCCTCAGAAAAGAAATTAAAGACATGATCAGTATAAAGGGGAGGGGGAGAGGCTATGAAAAGTAGCTTTACAAGGGGGGAAAAAAAATCCTGTTTAGTGAACACAGAAAAAAGGGGGGAAAAAGTATTAAAGGCACATCAAAACTAGGGCCTGACGTTTTGTGTCTGATGCTGCTCCCTTCTGTTTAACAGTGGGTTTGAGTGTTTAGTTGGCTGTTGACTTATGCTGTGGTGAGTGAGGGGAAGAAATGCAAGTGACTCCTCTCTTGAGACTTGGACATAGTATACCAGTGCAAGGTTCTGTCACAGTGAGTCCAGTTGAGACGTCCGACTTAGTCTTGTGTATGTGTGCACTAGCACGCCTGAGTTCAGCCTCTTTGCCCAGCCGTCTCCTAAGACTTTCCTTTTATTTCTCTATCAGAATGCATCTATGAATGTGTCTTTTTTGCCATCTCATCCTGTTTACATGCCATAGGTGTTCTGGTCTTAATGATGAGTGCCTATTAAATTAGGTTGTGCTGCCACTGAGTTGTGGATTTATGCTGGAGAATGGAAACAGTGTTTCAGTCCATTGGTTGTGCTAGATAGAAAAACATGGTTGCATCCTTAAAGAAACCTTCCATGTTCTAAGTAGCACTCCTTTGAGCATTTAATGTGGACATATGAGGGTGCTTCAGAAAGTCTGTGGAAAAATGGAATTTTTTAAGCACCCTAGTACTTAAAGATAGAGCATTTTTAATGCTAACGAGAGATTAGCACTTAAGATCAAATTCACAGAGAGAATGTAGATCCCTGATAAATTTTGCTGTTTATAAATGGAGTAATGCTGCCACACATACTGTATGGGGGCCACAAAATGTAACTAGTTGTGGGTAACTAGTTTAACACAATTTAACCAGTTAGGTACTCATTCCTAAAGGCATTCAAAAGACCACATGTGTTTCCTTGGCCCCATGTGACGTATCTAGGCATATTGAAAGAAGGGAAAAGGAGAACTCTCAAGAGATTTGTGTTAAACTACTAAAGTGAATGGTTATAGATGTGCTATGAAGAAGAGTAATGAACAGGAGAGTGTGGTCGCAGATTCATTTAATTCAACACAAAACCATTGGTCAGAATTAGCACAACTGGCATCTTCTCTCAGGCTTGCAGTTGTCAGAAAACGTGGTGTTCTGACTAGACCTTGCAGTACAGGAGGCACCTCGAAGTCACAGTTTCTTACTGAATAGGTCTGCAGGAGTCACAGAGTGTAGGAGATGAGTTGCTGGTTTAAAAACCCATGGCTCTCAGAAGAGATTCCATTGCACTGAGCTAGATGAATGAAGGGGAGAAGACCAAGAGATTTGCAGTGGTGATTACAGTTATCTGTATATCATTGAAGAGCTGAGCAAGACAGGAAGAACTAGGGATGACCAGATATCTTCTTGGCATATATGTCCTAAAAAGGCAGAATACTATTGGTGTGAAATGAGGAAGAGAGAAGAGCAATACAGTTTTCTTGTGTGCAAAGGTGCTAGACAAGTAGAAGCCCCACTGGAATTGATTGAGGGAGGACCTCAAGGGTGGCTGATGTGGCCTCATTGACTACTCCTTCTGCAGGAGGAGCTGACCTGCTGGAACTGGGATGGGGAGAGACAGCATGTGGAGGTTGAAGACTTGATGAGTGCAGGCACTGGGGAAAGGGGACTATTTATAAAAGGAAAGTTGTTGGTCTAAGTCCAACAGTAGGTCACATCCTGCTAATTTTTTTGCACAAGAGAAGATGTGCCTGGTATGTATGATGCAACTTAGGTGTGAAAATACTATCTTGGAAGAAGATATTTTCTATCAGCAGTGTGAGTAGCAGTGGGGAAACTTACAATTTCACAACTGTAATCTTATTGGGGGAGTGGGAAAGCGATTCTGTAACCAACATTAGAATTACTTTGGACTTGTAATCAAATGGTTCTATGATTTGTCTTTGACTCCACAGATAATTGTAAATTCTGGTTTTATAAGCCCAAGTCATTTTACATTTGCTTTTCCAAAATTTATTAAATTGGAATTTTTTAAATTCTTTATATACAAACAAAGCTACAAGCACTCAGTGTGTGTTTATCTTCCCCTTCCCAGTCAGCACACCCTATCGTTGATTTTCATCAAATCAGTAAGTAACCTCTTCAGGCTCCTCTAAGGACAATCCACATATTTCCCTGGATAAAAAGAAGCAGATTAAAGTTCCCAAATGCAGAACCAGGTTTTTTCACACTAAGCCTTAATCTCATTTGAGTACCCAAAAGAGAATCAATGTTCACTCTGGTTAGAATCTAAGAAAGATCATTTTTGGCAAGGATGCACTTCCATCCTTGGGAAAGACTCTTCCCAGCATCCCAGGTTCACCTTGCTAGGAGATAGATTCCCATGAGATGCCCCACTCAGCAGGCTGGGAAGTGCTTGCCTTCCTAGCCATGCCATCCTCAGTTCCAGGAATCTCATTTCTGTGGCTGTATTCCCAATATAAAGCCCTTATAGAATTGAGGCCCCAACTTTGGAGGCACGTAAGAACTACTTGACAGTGCCTGTTAGGTTTTCTCTTTATCCTGTACATGAAGTTTTACGTGTCTGGTCCAGATAGATAAAGCATTTCCACTTGATTTTCCAGCTGGTTTTGTAAGTGATTCCTGTGTCTCTAAGACACAGATAAATGAGATGTTGGTTTGGGCCAATGAAGATAGCAAGTGTGTAATCTAATCAGCTGAGACTTTTGTCTATAAGTCAGGGTGCCTTCCTCTGCTGAAGCCTTACTTCTCACAAGCCCTCCCGCTTCTCACCCTGCCTCTTCTCTTGTGTATATGCAAATAAACCAATTATTCACTTCTCCTGTCTTCCTCATCTCTTCCAGGGAAGACTTGGTTGCTTAGACACCCCTCCTCCTCCTTTTCTGTTTTAATTCTTGTCTGTTCAAATCACCCGGCAGGAGGGAAGTGTTTTTTTGCCCAAGGACAATTTTAGGCTCTGTTGGGAACTAGATTCCAAGCTGCTGAAGACCAGAAGAAAAGCTGGCGCTCCATATCCACTGCAATGTATTCTTGATAATAGTTGGACAAAGATCACATCTGGACAGCAAAGTATGAGGTCAAAGAAGGTCTCTACTGGGTTTCCTTGAACAGCAGTGAAATCCTGGAATGGCCACTTGTATTAGTTGGAACTGTGAAAGCAATTAAGACAAGTGTCATTACAAACAGTCCCAAAAGAAATTGTTTTCTGGCGTTTCCAAATCTCAAATGCTTTTCCTGCCCCTGTACCCTAAATGTATGTTCCAGTCATGCATTGCAAATTTTTCTTCTCTTTAAAACATAAACACAAAACCAGGATCAGCAGTGGACTGCGAAACAGTTCAAATCCACCAACTGCTCCTAGAACATGATTTGAGTCTGTTAAAGATATGCCCAGGGTCGCTATGAGTTGGAAACCTACTAGACTGCACTTCACAACATATAGAGAGCCTACCTATAAAGCTGCCTCCTACAGTTAACTGAAAAATTCTCGCCAACCTTGATCTTGTCAGCAAACAGACACTACACTGTTCTTCCCACATGAACTAAATAGGACACTGTGCCAGGGTTGAAATGCCACGTTCAAGGAAGGCTCAGTGAGTCCCAGAGTTGCTCACAAGAGGACAATGGCTTTGAGCAGGTGGTGGTTCTCGCTGGTGAGGTATTCCATTATGCGTGCTAGTTTGTGCTTGAGCACTCCTACTGGAATGAAATTACAGAAATTCAAGGAGTTTGAAAGTAATTTTGAATTTCTTAAAAGAGCAGTGCTTCCCACATGCAATATAAAAGAAGTGCATTTGAAAGGAGAATCTGAGCCATCTGTGCCCTAATTGCATTTCATTGTTAGTACAAAGGTGGTGTGAGATGTTTCTGGAAATTGAGCGAGCCATCAGAAGACAGCTTTGAATTGGAAGTGTAGAGGCTTCACTAACTTGGCCTACAGTAAACAGAAGTTACTTGTTACTCAACAGGGTTTACTTGAGCTATACAAAAGGGTTCTACAGTGTTTATCTACAGATAGCCGCATTGTAAGAAAATGGAGTATATGGAGATGACTGCTTTCATAGAACCCAAAGCCATGAGCTCATGGAATATTCCAGCAGAAATACAGACACTGATACACAGGACAGTTCAATCTACCAGCCACTCTCAGAAATTGCTCAGGATTGCTCTGAGTCAGAACCGACCCCACAGCACACAACGGCAGCTTATAAGTTTCTATCTGTCTTTGTTAGTACTCTAATCAAAGCTAAAGAAAGACAAGAAAACATTAGGCGATCCAGATCCTTAGAGACGGGGGCACCTTTAGGGAAGTCAGGAGGGAAGAATTTAGGGGGCAAGGAGTTAGCATGACTCTGCAGAAGAAATGATATTCTTCTAGGTAGGTGTCCAGCATGGCACAGGACAAGCCTCTCAAACACCTAGTCATCAAGAGTCTCTAACCACCAACTAAGAAAGTGAGTCAAAAAGTATTGCTGCTTATGTTCCAGTTCATCCATGCAGGGGTTTATTCCAGACAAAACCTGTTTAAACATGTCTGCAATCAGTGGTTGGCTGCAGACAAGTTCTCTCAGTAATACACTTGTCTTAGTCTCGTTGGGTGTGTTCAAAGAGAGGTCCAATCAAATCAGCTTTTGAGGTGATCTGTTGGGCCAGTTCAAGGTAGAGAGATCAGCTCAGAAGGTTATGGTGAATGTTTTTTTAGATTCCCAAAGAGAATTTCTCCAAGGACACAGGACAATCATGGGGGCTTATAATGAAGTTTAAGAAAATGGAAAACTGCACTGGTGAGAAAAAGGCCAGGAAAGTTGTGCTGAGGGATTATTTTTCCCATTACAACAAAGCACCTGCTCATTTTTTAAGGTTAGCAAAGGCTGTCTATGAGAATTTCATTACCCCATCCACTTTCCAGCCTTCTTTTTGTTCCCCAAACACAACATTTCAGTGGAACATGATTTGAGTTTTGACATGGTATTAATTGAAGAGCACAAAATTCTTCAGGGAAGGATTGATGGGATGGAAGCTCTACCTTTAAAAATGTATAGACCTAGATGGAGGACATATTAAACAATAGCTTCACATTTTGATCTTTTTCTGTGGTTTTATAACAATACTTTTTTACTTACCTTCAGTTCGTGGAAAAAAATCTGTTATCTTTTCATTCTATTTTTCAAAACCCCTTCATACATTTATATATTCTTTCCCTATCTTTTTTTCCATCTATTTGTTGTTATGTGTCATCTAGTCAGTTCCAACTCATAGTGGCCCTGAATAGGGTTTCTAAGGAGTGACTAGTAGATTTGAACCACTGACCTTGGCAGTTAACAGTCCTGTTCTTATCCTACAGTGCCACACCAGGACTCCTCCATCTATATCTACTTATATTTAGATGTAGGTACAGATATTTATCTACAAAAAGAGCAAGATTCTCAACTAGATAGACACAGTAAACTTAAGTATAATAAAATTGTGAGGGTAGCACAGGCTTGGGCACTATTTTGCTGCGTTGCTGAGTTGGAACTGACGCTATAGCACTTAACAACACGTTGCTGTTGTTAAGTGCCATCGAGTTGGTTCCGACCCATAGCAACCTTGTATAGGATTTCTGAAGAGTGGCTGGTGACCACC